ACTGCTCAAAACTCGCGTTTGAATCATCAGTGGCAAATTCTTTAAATATGAAAACGTAATTACAGACTGTGATTCAGAACATCCGGCATTGTAGTCTACTCTACCAGGATCAGGAAACAGTCCTCCATAAAATGCGCTGCACACATCTGAATATTTGGGTTGAACTGTTCTGGAACAGTGTTGTAAATACAACTTAACCACTGATTTCTAGTCGTGTCCTCTTTTGGAAGGCCAAACAAAGTATTTTCGCTTTCGCATCGAAACACACAGCGTCTTCACAACATGGCGGTACTAACGTTAAAAAAGTGAAATCGCAATCAACCACCCATTTAAATTAAATAATTAATGGATCATTTAAACGAAAAAGATATTAAAAGTAAAAAATAATAAATTGAGTGTAAATAAAATGATATGGGTAAATATGGGTATTATGCAGTGGGTATAGTGTCCTATTTTTGACATTTATTATACATGCCGTTTTTATGGCATTAATTAAAAGGACTGCAAGTAGCATGTGTGCATTCATTTGTGAAATTAATTTCACACTTCACTTTCACAGTTCTATTTAAGTGAGCAGCAATGTATAATAAGAGGTAAGAAATGGTTATGTGTAAAATAAATGTTATTTTCAATGTAAAATATTGATGTTGAGGAAAATGTTCAACATTAAAATTTTGACATTGGGAAAAATTTTCAAAGTAAAATATTGATGTTGGGGAATAGTCATATCCATATTATTTGTGAATTACACAAATGTGAAATGCAATGTGAAGTGTGAAATGAAGAACAAATTAAAAATCTGTTTGTATGCATCTATTTTTTTTATTTTTTTTGTCAAGAATTTTGTTCAAAAATTATTGTTGCTTTATTGACATGAAATACATAACGTCAAAGCATTGTAGAGGGAGGGAAAAAATAAAAGAAAATAATAGGACTAAAAAAAAGACTAATAAAAAAAGTAAACACTTCCAATTCAAGATGTTGTTTACTCTTCAGTTGTTGGCCGTCTCAGATTAGCAATGTCAATTACATGCCACTTGATTGGAGCATTGATGACAGGACGTGTTCTTGGGTTGTGACCTCTGCATCACTTGAGTTTTTGTGCTTTTTATCTGCTGCCTCTCCAAAATAAGAAGTGTTCCACGGCTGTCACTGATTGCACATCTCTGGATAAGGTCTGCCTATACGCCGGCACCTGCTATAGTCTGAGAGGACAGATCTATTTCAAATGCCCACCAGATGAAATACGGTTGCTATAGCACAGATTTCGATTTTTGTGTAAATCGTTTTACTGGTGAGTTTGGCTTAAGTTTTATTAGGTTTACTTCAGTAGGTTTATTGGCATGATGTATCCATTCATCTTTGAAAAGTCAATGTGCCAGAAATACAAAATGAATCCAAAATATCCAGTTTTGAGTACAGCTTTGAAAGTTTCCTTTCTTTTATGAATTGCATGTTAATTGAGTGGTATAATATTTGTGTTTTATGTCTGTTTATACCACTTCTTGATGTAAATACATGGAGTACCAGCGTTTGGCAACAGTGTCATCTGAGGCATGGCAGCTGAATAACTAACGCTAAAGTGTCTCCATTGAGCCATTCCACATCAATCAGCTCTTTCATACCATTTCACACAGGATTCACAGGACATGACTGCTCCATGCCGGCTGCGGGCTGCACTTCCAACCCTTGCGATACGAAGGGCACTTCCATGTGCGAAGAGCAGCAGGGCAGTTTCAAGTGCACGTGTCACCATGGCTATACTGGCCTATTTTGTGACACTTCTATCAATCACTGCGTTGAAGGATTGTGTCATCACGGATCAAAGTGTGTGGATCTCCTGCTGGGTTTCGTGTGTGAATGTTTGCCTGGTAAGCATGATTGCGTTGGTCTGCCTCCTCCCGATCCCTCTGTCCTCACCTTCACTAAAGCATCCATTTAACCCTCACCCCATTTTCATCTCTGCTCAGTGTTACAAGGACGATTCTGTGAGGTAAACATTGATGACTGTCTCGATAAGCCTTGTGGTGCACTCAGTATCTGTAAAGATGGTACCAATGCCCATGACTGTTTCTGTGCACCTGGGTTCGTTGGTAAGTCCACTGCAAGCAATTTTCTAGAGCAATTTCTTCCCTTGCCCAGTTTTCTAACATTCAATTCCCCTCTGTTGAGCCGTGTTTAAAAGGTCTGTGGCCTCAAATCTGCTTCTGTATTGTAAGACATTAGTTGACCGTCTGCTTATCAAGAGGAATTTCTTAAACCACATTACCCTGCCATCACATTTTCTGACATCCATTTGACCAAGTAGACAGGAGTGTTTTTTTTTTTCTTCCATAGCACCTCATCATTAGCTCTGGGTTATTTTATTTGAAGGGGCATCACAGCCCCTTTATTTGCAAGGAAATCCTTAATGAAATTAACCTTTCCCCTTCTTCTCAAGGTAATAACTGTGAGATTGAAGTAAATGAGTGTCTTAGTCTACCCTGTCAGAATGGAGCTTCCTGCTCAGATGAGCTTAACTCCTTCAGCTGTCTCTGCCTTGCCGGGACCACAGGTACATAATTCCTTCCTCTCGTCGCAGTTTCGCACACTGAATTTGGGTGACAAAGACCTCAAAGTTACATTTTGAAAATGACAACCATGTGTAAATGTGGGATTGAATCCTTTAAATTAAATTTCCAGATGGTTGCGGTATCACTCCTCGGCCTACAATGGGAATGATCATCTCAGCAACATTTTTTTTAAGTATTAAATAAGGAACATGAGTGGTGTTGTTTTAATTATTTGTTTATTTATTTGATTATATATGATTAATATTGCATTTTTTTCAAGGTTACAATAGTAGGCTAGAAGTAGTAGTAGTAGTATCAAGTAAAAATAGATTTGCCTTATTCATGGAACGTATCGGTTACGTACGTAACCCTCATACCCTGATGGAGGGAACAGAGACGTTATGTTGTGACGACATTAGGTGTCTTACTTGGGAGCCCCAATCACCTCTGAGTTTAAGAGAAAAGGCCAATGAGAATTGGCGAGTGGATTTTGCATGCCAAGCCACTCCCCCGTACATACGAGTATATAAGGTGGCGCCGTGCATCCACTCATTCAGGTTTATGCTGAGGAGCCGAGACTGTGTCCCGGCATTCAGCGAGTGGTTCAGTGTTATGGCAAGGGGACATATCGTCTCTGTTCCCTCCATCGGGGAATGAGGGTTACATACGTAACCGAGACGTTCCCAATCTGTCGGTCACTACGAGTTATGTCGTGAGAACATTAGTGGACCCTATGGAAAGCGCCACAACCACTGAACGTCGTTACAACTTGTGGTGTTGCAAATGCTGACAAGCCATGGCGTGTCAATGCAAATGTAAACGCAGAAGTTGTAACCTTCCCAACGCCCCAGAGCAAACTCACTGACCTTGGTGCCGAGAGGGGCCAATGGTGAGTACATCGCCATCGGAGAAGGCCATGTTGCAGTTCCGTTCACAGAAATTCTTTAACAGAAGGAATTTCAACTTCTGGTAAAAGACTTGCTTCAAATCTTCTTTTTTTTAGGTTAGATGGAAACGTTTGCCTAGAAGTGTGCCTAGTTCCAAGGGATAAGGTCGCTACAGAGACCACATCCTATCCGTAGGGAGGTGACATGTGGAGATACTAATATGGAATGACCTAACGAGGGTTTACCATGAGGGAAATCTTACCATGGAAGAATACACAGATGGGACACGTAGATGGGACACGTAGCTCAGTAATGACTGGGGCTGTCCACGTAAATGCGCAAGGTGCGTACGGGACACAGCAATGCCAAAGCTGGATCTGCCTCCTCTGGGGGCAGTGCTTGCAGGCTCACCACTTGGTCCTGGAAGGGAGTAGTGGGAACCTTGGGCATGTATCCAGGCTGGGGTCTCAGGACAACGTGAAAGTAGGCTGGCCTGAACACTAGGCACTCTTCACTCAGCGAAAATGCTTTCAGGTCCCCGACCCTCTTGATGGAGGTGAGTGCGGTCAGGAGTACTATCTTGAGAGACAGGATCTTAAGCTCGACTGACTCCAGTGGCTCAAAGGGATCCCTCTGAAGTCCCGCCAGGACAACAGAGAGATCCCAGGAGGGCACGAGGGGTGGCCTAGGAGAGTTTAACCGCCTAACACCCCTCAGGAACCTGATGATCAGGTCGTGCTTCCCCAGGGACCGGCTGTCCACTGCATTGTGATGCGCTGCGATAGCAGCGACGTACACTTTCAAGGTAGAGGGTGACAGCCTATTCTCCAACCTTCTTTGCAGGAAAGAAAGCATGACTCTGATCGGGCATCATCGGGTGTATTCTCAGCGAGAAGAACACCAGTCAGCGAACAGACTCCACTTCAAGGCATAAGCTCGCATGGTAGAGGGAACTCTGGCATGAGCAATAGTGTCTACTTCCGCTGGTGGCAGATCACTTAAGGCTGCCATGTCCTGTCCAGGAGCCACACGTGGAGGTTCCAGAAATATGGACACGGGAGCCATATGGTGCCCTGCCCCTGAGAAAGAAGGCCTTTCCTCAGGGGAATCCACCAGGGAAGGGCTGTCGCGAGGAGCATGAGTTCCGAAAACCAGGTCCGGGTGGGCCAGTAAGACGCAAACTGCAATACCTGTTCCTCTTCTTCCCTGACCTTGCACAGTGTCTGTGTGAGAGGTGTCACTGGGGGAAACACATACTTGCGTAGGCCCCGGTGTCAGCTGTGTGCCAGTGCATCCGTGACGAGGGGGCCTCAGTCAGGGAATAGTACAACTGGCAGTGGGAGGACTCGTGGGAAGCAAACAGGTCTACCTGAATGAAATGCTGGGACAGCCGTGTGACAGGCCAGCGAAATCATCTGGAAGCTGTACGGGACAAATGCTGCGTGAGGAGTGGGAGGTTCGTGGGGGCTGGCCCGGCAGATTTGCTCCCACTGTAATCCTCAAATCTCCCAGAGCACTAAACAACGAGGCCTTGTGCTGTGCAGAGGGGTAGTGACAGAGGGGTCTCCTCCTTTCCTCAGAAAAGAGAGATCGCAGCATTGCCATGGTCATGCGCTCGCAGTGCGGGCATGAACCATCCACTAATGTGTCTTCAGCGTGTTCTATACCCGGACACAGAAGACAGTGGTCGTGGCCATCATCAGGGGACAGGAAACGACCACAACCAAGAGGACAGGGACGGCATCTTGAAAAAGATGCAGACCGTCTGCAATTTGCTATTTTAGGGAAACTGCTCTTTTAGTGCTGTAGCGCCCTGGGCAATCACACTGCAGAGAGGGGGACACTGCTGAATGCGCCTTCTTGCCAACACCGAAGAGCTTGTTTGTGAGGTGAATGGGTTCATGAAGTGTAGACATACACCCACTCGGCTCCGAAGAAAAAATCTGAATGAGTGGATGCACGCCGCCACCTTATGCATTGCATGGCATGCAAAATCCACTTGCCTATTCTCATTGGCCTTTTCGCTTAAACTCAGAGGTGATTAGGGCTCCCAAGTAAGACCCCTAATGTCATCACGACATAACTAATAGTGACCAACAGATAGGGAACTTTAAGGTGAAGTGTGTAATTTCCGTACTACTAGAAATACCAAATGGAATTGTTCAGAAAAAGCACCAAACTCACATCATGGACCCTTTTCACATTTCTGGGGTTCTCAAAAGTGAAAGTCATCATAGTTGGGAAAACTACAACAAATATAATTTTTGTGTTCCGATTTGCCCCAATAGCAAAAGAAAAAAATCAATGTTAGCGTTTCTGTGACTTTCCAAAAGAGGGGGGAAAAATCAAGAACTAGATTATGTTGGTTAGAAGAGAGAAAATTATAAAACTCAGCCATTGTATTAGAAATACTCACTCAGCAGCATTAACCTTTTTCCTGTAATTAAATGCAGTTTCATTATTCATAATTTCGTTCAAGGTAAGAATTTTTTGTATAACAATAATGTAAAAAACAGATTTATGTTCATAACTGTGGAAACATGTCATCACAGTGTATGAGAAGGGTCCATTGTTTGAGCCAGAATTTGACAACCCATTCAAACAAATATCAATGTTTTTAAATTGCCACAGTGGAGATAACCTGTGAATGGCCTACTTATAGTTGTCTCAGCACTTTAAACTGAGATGGAAGTATTTTAATTCGGAGAAAAAAAAAATTACACACTTCAGCGTAAAGTGATATGATCATTTAGTGTGTCATGTTTAGCTAACAACCCTTTAAAACAGAGGGGCACTTTTAGTTCTTATCCAGCCACATTAAATTTCTATTTTGAGAGTAATTTCCACTTAATTCTTTCATGTTTATGCAAATTGGAAAGGAAATAGGCTCATTTGGAGGTATGAGTCAACTCAAGCTCTCAGTATATTTTATGAACCTCCTGCCCAACGGAATGTAAATTCATCTACTTTCATTTCAAACCAGGAGGTGTATTGCTCAAAGGCTTAAAAGGGATTTTAGATTTGTTTTTACTTTTATTCCAGATTCTTTGTGCTGTGAAAACTTCAGCTTATAATTGGATGGCATGGGAATTTCTACGACAACTCTATCTTATTTTCTTCTTTTTGTGTGCCTTTATCTTTTTCTCTTGCTTCTCAGGCAGTTTGTGTGAAATAAATATAGATGAATGCCAGTCATCGCCATGCATGAACAAAGGCACGTGTTTGGACCTCTCAGATGGCTTTGAATGCATTTGCCCATCAGGTTACTCTGGTGTGTCTAATGTTTATAACATTATTGCATTGATTATCTCTCCATTGCTTTTCTATTGTTCTCACAGGGCCCAGCACAAAAATATGACTTCACATCTTAAAACTATACATAGACCCTAAATATTAAATGTCTTAAGTATGAATGTCATATTTTTGTCATTTGTGGAACGCTGCTTCTCAGATATTCTCTAAGAGATACGGGCTTCTTTCAAAGATTTTCTGATTTCTGATTTTTCTGCTTTATATTGTGCATTAAAGGTCCCAAGTGCTCGCTGGACATTGATGAGTGTCTCTCGTATCCCTGTAAGAATGGAGGCACCTGTATTGACCAACCGGGTAATTACTACTGCCGATGCGCAGCTCCATATAAAGGTAATGAAGACTGAGGGACTGGGGTGAAGAAAAGCAAAGTTAATTAACTTTAGAGAGCATTCCTCTCACCTGTCTGAACTCATGCAGTCAGTATTGCCACATCAAGACATCTTCATTATTCATACAATAATTTCAAATTAAAATGAATTTAAAATGTATAAATGTCCAGAAAAATGTATAGGGTCACTTATATTTCAAATAAAATATTATAAATGTAAAGTATAAAATAAAAATACAAAATAAAATTCTGATAGGCTGTACTCTCAACATAATGTGGTTTCACCAAGCTGCTTTATACCTTTTGATTTAATTGTTTATGTCAGAAATGGTTGAAGGTACAAATTAAATTCTCTCTTATGCATTTTCACCCTTACAATGCATGGTTTTCATTTACAACAATTTTAGGATAACGATAACCTCGCAATTGATTTGCTGTTGAACATTTTGGTGAGGATTATGTATTGTAGTAAGCCCTGCATTTATACACACACACATTACGGTATGCTGGTTCAGTTCAGAGGTTGATCGAATCAGACCTAAATGTCAGGACAAATTCCTCCTAGAGTGCTGTTCTCTTTGACTATGTTATTCAGATCAGGAAACTGCGGAAACTATGTGCTGTCTGAATATACCTGTTTTACACATCTGTATTTTGTGCATTATTATCTGTGGTGTTGTTGTTGTTTTTTTTGTGTACGTTTGATGCTCAGCTGGTCAATTCTGGACACAGAATGCATCTAATCTAAAATCGATCAGGCAGCTCAGTCATCGCTGCTTATACTCAAGCAGAGATCACGGATCGCACTTCCATTAGACGAGCAAATTAGGTTGTCAGGGATAATGATTATATCGGTTATTCTGTTTTGAAATTGAGGGAAAAAAGGCACAGGCAGCTTCGCTGCTCTGAAACACAAGCATAGTATTTATGTGGAGGGATGCTGGGAACATTAACCTATCCATTACACAGCTATCCTTTACTAAATGATCTAGTATCTAGACTGGCTAAAATACAGTGCAGAGTCTATCCATGTGTTAATTGAAACCCTGAGAGTTTGTAGCGGCCATTACCCAACAATGCCATGAGTGTAATTAGACAATTCAAAGGCATGTCATTAATGTTCATTGAAGTTGTTCTCACGTATCTGTCTCTAATGTGTCATTATGTTATGGGTTTTTGTACTGTCTTTGATTCATGTATATTTTTGTCTAATCCATTTCCTTGTTTAATAATAAAAAGTTTGCACCAGCTTAACAGGCTAGCCTGCTGACCAGCTTCACTGAACAGTTTTGGTCAGTTACCAATTACCATTATAAGGTGTGTTGAGTTGCTTTCAAGTTGGTTTTACTGTAGCTAGTGACCAACTTGACTACAGATCTCTGTCTGGCTCTTCTACTACCATCATGGGTGACATTTGACTCTTGAGTCAGGAGGGAGAAAAAAAAAATGTATATATATATATATATATATATATAAATGAAGTAAATAAAAGCAAAATTATTTTTTTTCTGATGTAAGCATCAAAACAATATATCGTATTGCAACGCATCAAAGCAGGCTCGCTGCTTTTCTGATGTTCTCTGAAGTTTTCCGTGTATGCTTTTGGCCCGTGAATTAGATCTTGCTCGGGATGCGCGCTGTCTGTGGAGGTTTGCCCAGGACCGGTTCCAGAATTAAATCTACATATTTTATGCTCCGTCCATTGCCAATCACTGCTATTTCGAGAGTGAATCCCGCATAAGTATGCGGATGTCATTCCCAAAACTTTGCAGGGTGTAGCCTATGTGTCCGAAAAACGAAATTCTGAATGGATTATAGGCTACCCTAGAAAGTGCGCAAAGCGCACTCCCTTTATCACTAAAAGGCGTCACTCATCTTCGTTCATCGCGATCTTACAAAGTTCTGTTATAATCAATGAAGCTCTCTAAACTGCACAAAGAATCTCTTATTTACATCGCGTCTAAACTTAGTCATGAGATGATTCACGAGCGTGCAAAACTGCACTTAAAAATTGCGGCGCTTTCAGCGGTGAGTGAATTCTGACAAAATGTTTCTGATTGGCCATTGCATTCAAGAAATCAACAGATATGTATGTGATTGGTTACATTGCTCAACGCTGCATAAACACGGTGAGGGTCTTTAGCGCTTGGCTAAGCGCTCCAATTGCAACGGTGCCGACATCATATAGGCTTAGATCTCTGCCACAATTCTGTGCGAATTATCATATTTTGAGCGCACAAAAGTGCATTTTGCACGCGTGCGATCTGAGTTTTGTGGAGAAAATGTTAGTTTCGCAAAGAAAAAAGTAATCAATTTTGTAATCAAGTAATCAAAAACAATTTTGCATTTAAAATAAGTTTTTGGATGTGTGCAGACCTTCTCTTTTGCACGTGCAACGTTTCACTAGCTTGCTCCCTTGATGCCCGCCCTCAGTGCTCTCTAAATGCCGACGGCTGGCTTGCTCAACACAACCCAGCGTTACAATATGCCATAATTCCAGCCAATCAGAGACGAGGCTGCTACATTCTGATTGGCTGCCTTGACAACCAATCACAACATGCCTTGCATTGCTGATGACAGCGGAAGAGGGAAAATACAGTGCATGCATAATTATTATGCAAGTTGATATTCTGATTATATCTTTTTTTCCAAGCACATTCTACCAATTCCAAACAACATCAATCTTAATAACTACTATTAATCTTGTATTTAATCACTTATAACCTATATATTATTGTTCATGAAGGCTGGAAGTGAAAAACACCTTATATT